CATAACTTAAAATTATGACCAAATTTCCAGAAATAAAATAAAATCAGCATAGTCTCTCATTTAAGAAAACAAATCTCAGAACTATTCCATAATTTGTCTGTTATATAAATTACCCTAATTATTATCTCCCTATAAATACTTAGCATCACATTAGAGCAGCCACATACTCATAGTTACTACTTCTCCTAAATCATTTCATAAAACTCTTCTAAAGATCAAACAATGGCTTCTTGCAAACTCCTTTGCCTCATTCTCTTCCTCGCCTTCGTCACCCAAGGTATATATAACAATTATATCATAGTTTTCAATCTTCGTTTATTCTTTATCGTACTATCAAATTGTGATGATAAATATTAATGTTTAATTAAAAAGAAGTACGTAATCGCAATATTATCTAGATATATATCATGATCACTATAACTCTATATATATCCAACATACCAGATCTATAATTCGATGAAAGCATGACATTTTCCTAGAACATATCAACATGTAATCTATTACATAAGTAACATTGTGTGATCTATTTTTTGGTTCTCAAAGGGTATGGGGACTGTCATCTTAATTATCTATCTGTCAAACAATCGAAGACCGGGAAATTGGTTCAGAATAAACCGGAGTGGGAAGTGAGAGTGACGAACCCTTGTAAGTGCAGATTCCAGTACACACAGTTGTCCTGTGCCGGTTTCCAATCGGTCACACCCGTGGCAACCTCGGTCTTGTCGAAATCTGGTAACTTGTGTCTCATCAACGCCGGAAAATTCATCTTTCCACACGTAGACTTCGTTTTCACATACGTATGGGACACTAGCTTCGATCTCAAGGTCATGGACGGTGTCATCGTTTGCCCTTAAATTCTCTAACCCAAATCGTTTCGGTTTAATTCGGTTTTGGTCCATGTTAGTTTAGTTACTTGAGCTAGCATATGAAACTGATGATTATTACTTAAACGTTGTCCGAATGATTACATTGAGATTAATAAAGATACTCTCGTTTTATATGTTGGTTTTTACGTCATTTTTATTTAATACACTTCACATTCTGCTGGCCAAAAAACCAGGACAGAAGAATATAGTAGAGATTGACGTTACAAGCTTTCATTTGACAGAAAGAGTTTTCTGCAAAAAACAAAAAGACAAACAAACATATAAAATATGCCTTATTTAAAGATAACTTAAATATAAGTCTAAAACTAACAAGTTCTAAAAATCTAACGTTATGTTCTCGTGGTG